TGCATTTAAAAAACGGATTTCCATTTACAAATTTCAAGGTGATCTTTACGTGTCCTTGAGGAAGCTGTTCAAGGTCATATTTATATTACTATGTAATGCATTACTTAAAACCGTACAACTTTCATGTTTAACATTTTTTTCCATCTTACATATTTAAAAAGTTATTTAGAGTTACCTTATAAGGATACATACAGACATACATACATACACACATACATACATACATACATACAGACATTTTTTCTGAATGTGATTTTTGAACGTTTTAGAACATTCTAAACATGTTTTCAAAGAAAACTGGAAAAAATTTTTTTCACGAAAACAAAGCTTCCTCTATGAGGAAGCAAAATGCTGCAGTGCGACATATAAAAAGCTGATTTGCGCAATATTTTTTACTAATTATATAATATATTGTTCTTCAGTTTGTTCTATCAAAATTTCATATATGATTCATTAAAATATGATTAATTAGTTCTTGAGTTATAGACATTTGAAATTTTTGGAAATCATTATTAAAGAAAATTTGCGATAGTTAAAGCAACCACAGACATTCTCAAAAAGTTTATCATCATAACAATCATATTCAATATCATATTCAAAAACTCAACCTTACATAATGCGATTTCCGAGAATAATGTAACTTTCAAAAGCACATAACTCCGAAAGTACCTAACGAAAATATAATGTATTATGGTGTTTTGGAAAGCTATTGAGGTAAGCTATAAGAATATGCATTAAAAAAACGGGTTTCCGTTTAAAAATTTCAAGGTGATCTTTACGTGACCTTGAGAAAGATGTTCAAGGTCAAATTTATATTACTATGTAATGCATTACTTGAAACCGTACAACTTTCATGTTAAACATTTTTTTCCATCTTACATATTTAAAAAGTTATTTAGAGTTACCTAATAAGAATACATACAGACATACAAGGATACATACAGACATACATACATACACACATACATACATACATACAGACATTTTTTCTGAATGTGATTTTTGAACGTTTTAGAACATTCTGAACATGTTTTCGAAGAAAACTGGAAAAAAATTTTTTTCACGAAAACAAAGCTTCCTCTATGAGGAAGCAAAAATGATTCGAAAGATATTGCAAAGGAATAAGCATGATTTAGAAATATGTTTACTTTATTGGCATCAGGTTATTTGCAGGTTCCTTTCTTTTTGGATTAAGATCTTGATTTTTTGTGGATATTTCTGTCGTTACTTCTACAGTTTCAATATGTTCCGATTCAGTTAGGCATTGATTATCAATCACATCTGTATTTAACAATGGAATTTCTGGTGTAGCTGGTAATATTTCAATCCTGTAATTTACAATAATTATATTACTAATAGATTTATTATATAGAACATGTGTTTACTGTTAATTGTATTACGTTTGTTCTTGGGCACGTGGAAAAATGGATGGAACAGAATTTAGTTTTAATCGAAGTTGATTATAACCAAAACGTTCTATACACTCTGATGTGAAGTGTAATATGCAGATGCGACTACTTTTCGGCACATTTCGTGCACTTTCTCGGTTGTTCAAAGTCACTACCCACACAGCACATGATATCATTCGAATATTCTGTACTCATACTGAATGTTCTGTGATAATACAGGATAAACTGAGAACATTCGAATAATATCTTAGTAGTACGTTATTTCTCGTATGTGCATGGGATATACGCGAAATATAGACATGTGCCTGATCCGGTACGCCTGATTCCCTCCTGAATAGATAGCACCAGTACCACATACTACCGCGACGTGGCGACCGCGCGTTAGTCTTTCTCGTAAGTAAAAATCGTCCCGTATTAGTATAAAAGGCGAGCCGATACGTTGCGAGAGCGAGTTGCCTGGATCATGGCTAAACCTCAATAACCTAAATATACTTTTAATGACTATATAATTTAACACAATTTTACAGTTAGTTTAACAAATTGAATTTTTTAATAGGAAGCCTATTGATGTCCCACTCCCTATTAGAAACTGTAAGGCGCAACAAAGGGCAAGTCATGAGGTCTTAATAAAGAAAACCTGATCAGGCAATTTTAATTCTCGACGTTACATTTACTGTCAGGGCCCTGTCAGGGCTGCCTGATGAGTGCCTGACCAGGCATTAAGGAATCTTTATTAGGCCCCTATCAGGATCCTACTAAAATTTCTGCTCGGGTATATACATATGATATACGATACATATTACAAATAATATTCTGTTGATATTCTGGTATATCAACAGAATATCCTCAGTATATACCATTGGTATATTTTCAGCACATACTATGTATGAGAAAAAGCTGCGGACATTAGTGCATTCTCAGTACGTACTCAGTACATCATAGAACATATTCGAAAGCTATGAGAATATACGTAATGTACTGTTGAGATATTCTCAGAACTTTCTCAGTATCTACATGTGCTGTGTGGGTAATGCCTCGATCCACTTCTCCTTGAGACTTGGATTGCTCGGAAATCTATTATTTGTAAATATGTATGTGATTGTTCTTTCCAATTATACAACTATCACGTTACTTTATTAATATATTTAGTTTGTTTATAATATACATATATA